TAATTAATTTCTGAGAAACCAAATGTAACCTTAAGGATGTTTTAATTAGATATATTTAGACATTACATTCCTAGGTCCTGGCAGTGTTATGAGATTCTCAGATCTCTAAAAATGACCATAATATCTGAACACCTATGGCTTTTTCCCCATCAGATTTTAAGAGTTTATCTGTAACAGTGTCCCCAGAAAATCAGTGTGTAACTTTCTACCAGACAGAAGGAGTGTTTTAAATTTTTTGCATTATAACAGCAACACCCATTGGTAGATCCAAACCAGAGCCCTGTTGTGCTAACCACTGAGCAAATGCACAGGGAGAAATAAACTCTTCTGTGGTTTCCTAAGGTATGATGCTTATGGATGACAGTGCAACGTCAACAGTAACCAGTTTTGTTGTGCTCTTAAATAGATCAAAAAGCTGCACTCTTGATTTTGCATGGTTATCAAACTTACGATGTGAGTTAGTTATATGTATTTTTTGATAACTGATTTGAATTTGAGAACTGAAAGGAAAGCTATCATTTAAAATGAGAAGACACAATTCTGTTTTTCTTTCATGATCTCAACTAATAAATCCAAAAAGTATTTTGCCACCCTCTAAAATCTTTCCTTGCTGGTTTCTTCAGTTGTATTTGCTCTACAGAATATGCATTTAAATTTAGTTTTGTGTGTTTCTTCATAAAGAGTTCCAAGCAGAATGCAACTGATTCAGTCTTAAAGGTTATTTTTTCATGCTGTGTCACTTTTAAAACTTGCAGTGTACTGGAAGATGTCACTAAATACATCAGGAACTTTGAGTTTTAATTATTTATTTACAGTATCTTTTAGTTTTCCTCCAGTTGCAAATCCTATTGGTGTGCAAGAAAATGTAGGCACTTCATTTCCTTAAAATGCTTTGTGTTGTATCAATCTAGAAATGATGAAACATATTCTTGCTCCCAGTGAATCAGAAAAAAATCTTTGACGAGGATTTGCTGTTGACCAAAACTTCAAAATGTTTACAGATGCTCTTACTGCATCTAGCAAGGAAGAAAGATCCCGTTGAGTCAGCCAAGTGGGATACTCTTCCTGACAATCAGCTGTGAAGAATGTCCAGACATTCCTGATGGCAGCTCGACGCCTGCTGACCCTGGGAACATCAACCATTAAACATTGAGCAGAAGTGTTTGGAAGTTATGTTAATCTTGTCATTTCCTCAGCTGTTGCAAAATAACATTATACAAACAGCAGTATTCTATCTGTTCATATTGCTTTCAGTCACAGCAACAGAATGAAAACATTTATGCCCATAAACTTTTCGTATGCTTTTGCCTCAAACAATAGAACATCTCTCCAGTTCCCTCTCTAAAGATAAAAACTAGCAACGTGAATAGTTTAGAATACCAATAGTTAATACATCTAGATGAAACCTGAGTTCCTACACTGAACTCCCTGAAACAGTAAAAAGACAAAAAAATTGACCATCCAGTATGTTTTTTGGAGCTGCTCTGTGCTTAGTTCCTCCAAGTGAGATGACTTACTGAGAACACTTCTTTTTAAAAATGAGTGTCTAAATGTAGGTATCCTATACAAACAGCTAGGCCTTGTTGCACCTCCTTTTACAATAGTGCATCACAAATTAGAAGAAGGAAGAAAATCAGGTGCATTAAATAAACAGTCAAAGAGCAAAGATGATTATAGAACATATTTATTTGCTGTTTTTTTCATTACACTTTGGGTATACATGCAAATATTTGCTTTGTTGCTCTAATTTGAGAAAATTTATACATCTAATTAAAAAAACCCACCCCACAACAAAGAGGTTGTTTTATGAAAATACAATGTCAGGACTTAAAAAAGCTTCAGTTTTCATCCTGGTTACCTAAAATTATGATTAAGTCAATCTCTAATAGTCTTTGAAATAGTGCCATCCGGACCACAAAGCACATTTTTTGCCCCTGCCAGGCTCTTAGAGGCAGCGTGCATGGTAGCCAGTGGTCAGCAGCAGTCCACTGGTCAACCAGCCAGCAGCCAGTATTGAGCTCTAGCCTGGTCACCACACTTGTCCCCTGCCCATGTGACTGGCCAGACTGGGGGGTTAGGTTGGGAGGGTAAAGGGCTGGAGGACATGGGGAAAGCAGCAAGAACATGAAGGAATGGAGGAGCATAGTTCACACCTTTCCCAGCATATAGAAAGCAGGAGGACCTGAGGGTTTCACCGTTCAGACATAAGACACAGCCCAGGGAAAGCAGACTTCAATAGATTCACAGAGCTACTTGTTTCCATGTGCAGCTGCCATGACATTGCATTTGCTTCTGTTTCATGGAGAAATCACTATGTAAAACTCTCCCAGAACCTGATGCTAATGAATATGTGTCAGATTTTTCTTTTCTAGATGATTTATCATGCTACAAACAGAAGCTGCCAATCATCTACAATGTTGAGTGACTGCTCACTTTTCTCCTATGTGTACACACTTTGGAATGAACATGTCTCTTCTTTTGTGGTACTTATACACTTAAGTACTCAGAATGAATGGCTTCGGGAATATTTTTCTTCAAAAAAGTCCTTAACTTTAGAATTAGTTCCTATCTTGAGGTCCAAGTTGCTGTGTCTTTGGGGCATAAATACATAGCCTATTTTTGTGAAATGTTGGCAGGCATGGAGGCTTTGGGCTGCAGTTGGATGAATGTTACTTTTTCCTCCTTTTTTCTTGCAGTAATTCAAGTTTTTTTCCACTTGTTGACTGAGTCCTGTTATTAACATTCTTGTTTTGGTAGTAGAAGGAATTGATTATTAGAATAAAAGATAGTGTTAGCCATGTGGCTCCTATGTATTTCTTCCTTTACTCACTCTTGTCTTTTAAATTAGAACCTCTATCCACAGCTGCCAAACCCGATTGAAATCTGACATTTTTATGCAAATTATTTAATTAACAGTTTTGTCATGCTAGAACCACTTTTAAAATTTTAGCCTTTAAAGTCTTTGTAAACATATGGCTGATGAAAGAACCAAGAGTTCTACTCAACAGTCTGATTTTGTTTATATAGCATCATCAGTGCACACACCAACTTTTCCGCAAGCCCTCAGCTTCTGTTCTGAATTGAGAATGTCCATTAGAGACAAGAGGTACTTCAGGGTGTGTGGATATTACAGTCTTGGTCTGCTTTGGGTAACTTGTAGTAGCATTTAAAACATGATGGTAGACTTACAAGGCTAACATTGGTTTCAGTTTCCTTCCTCTAACCTGGTCTGAATGAACACCCAAGTCTCATTATGTAGCAAAAAACCTTAGTAATCTAAGTAGAGCTGGGGGTAACTGCAAAAAAACGTGGTTCTTGCTCATTGATAGTATATCTGGACATCATTCCTCCTGCTAAGTGTTTTGCAATGAGGCTTATTTTATGAAACTTTAGGTTTTGAAAATCAAATCCTGGCTTCGTGGAGCAGACTCAGGAGAGGTGTTCCCTTCTTCAACAAAATCTCTTACATGTTTGCATGTGTTCAGCCCAACAATTAACACACAATATTTTTAGTAGAGCAGTTTTTCTTAAGTAAAATACAAAGAAAAACAATAAAAGCATTTTGAGTACAATACTGATTTAAATAATTTCAATAATTACAACTGTTTCAGGTTATGGAAAGTAATAAGAAGGATAAAAATTTAATAACTGAACTTATACCAAACATCTGACATTAGCAGAATGCTAAGGGCACTAAGTCAAAGACTCAAATGTTAGGTAGCACTAGAATTAGGGTCACCAAGTGCATATTAATTCCATATTCTTAATGCTACTGCTTCCTACTTTTGCTTATCAATGAACATTATCTTCCTTATACCCTGACTGCCAAAGTCACAATGCAGGCTGAGTTATACATATCTGAATGAAAAATCAACTTATAGTAGAAAATAGCTGAACACTTTTAAACGGACTGCCTACAATAAACAGATGAAGTATGTTTTGCCAGAAAAGTTCACAGCTATTTGGGAAATGGTGGGATCCCTTTGGTTTGAACATCCCTTTGGGACAGAACACTGCATGAAGGCTGAAGGTATGACTGGAGGGAGTTCAGTTCAACACAGGTTTTGCACAGAATTTTGCTGCTACTTACAGGTGACTTGAAAAACTTTTTTTAAAAAAATGACACTTTTGTACCATATGTCCATACATGAGGGATTTGGGACAGTGATCAGATACAAACGGGTATTTACAACAGCATGATATGAGACCAATATCCACTGTCCCTAATTCACAGCCCACAGCATCTGCTCTTGTAAATGACACTTGGTAGGGGAATCTCTATCATGTATTTTTAACACTTACATATTTGACCTTGAATGGAGACAGGCAGAACAGGCTAAATCCGCAAATGCCAACTGAGATGCACAAAAGCTTTGCAGGGCTTCCTTTCAAGTCTAGGATGATGTGGGTACCTCCTTACACTCCTATTGCTCTAGTGTGACATGAGTTAGACTAGTGATGGAACAGAAGACTAGGCTGTGAGGGGTGTGCCTTAGTATCCAAGCAAAATCAGCAAAGTAAATTAATTCAGGTGTTTTTTGGTTGGGGTTTTTTTTGGCTATTTTTAGTTTCTCAGTGATAAACATGCATTAGTTTTAATTTATTTTCTCTTTTGCAGGAAAGCTGAGCACACACAGGACCAATGTGATCAAGCAATGCCCGTTTATTACAACTAAGAAAGCCCTTTTATAATGTTCTCCCGCACACGAGTAACATGCAGTACAAGTCCTCAAGACTGGACAGTTAACTTAGCCCACGCTTTAAACCTTCTTATGATTGGTTAAAAAGTGCCACATCAGCCTTGCCAGGCCTCTGCCTTGTGTAACTCCCTCTTCCGTCCCAACCCCTTCCGGGGGTTGTTTGTCTTGTCGAGTTTCAACCCCCTCATTCAGGGTCACATCCTTATCGCCTTCTTGCTCGGCTGAGGCTCTTATTCTTGTTATCACGCAGGATTGCTCACATGGCCATTCTCTCACAGAAAGCCCTCTAGAATCCCAACACTCTTTCATCTTTGTCTAATACTACTTCTGTAGCCACTTTCAAGTTGTCAAGCATTTTGGGTTTTAACAATTCTAGACTAAAAAGACTGGTTGTAAATAACACCATCTAGTTTTTTTCCTAACAGGCAGCTGAACACAGTTTGGGAGCAACTGAGGAAAGTATGACTTGAATTGGACTTGAAACTTTTACTGGTGCTACTAAATGATCTGAGCTGATAGGGAATGTATGGCTGGAAAAAACAATCTATTATAATATGCCATGCATCTTGTTAAGTTCCTGACTGTCTTACCTCCTACATAAACCCTCTAGACAAGTACTTCTAGCTTTTTGTGTTCACCGTGAGTCTGAGAGAGTGAAAGGGCAGAGGTTGAATGAGATTTTGGTCACACAAATATGCTGTCTGCGTTTAAATAAAAAAGGTAAATGAAGTCTCATTAAAGACAGTCAGTGAGACTCATTATAGGGAAAACTTTTTCTAATTAGTCTTTTTTTTTTTTTTTTTCTTCATTTTTTAGTGGATTTAAGATATGCTCAAAGCAAACCATAAATGTTCACCCAGGAGCTTGCTCTAATTTAGCTAAATCACTTTTTAGAAGTGACTTAGGGCCTGGCTTACTTGGAGAATTTATTATGAAATTCTTGTGCACTGACAACTCCACCATCATTTCCCATGCTGTGCGCCTTGGTGCCTGGCACTTGCTGCCTGCTCAGCACGCTTTCACAGGGTAAATGTGATTTAGGGCTCCTAATGCTAGACCAGTGTCACAGAAACGTTACCCAAGTATGAGGGCTGCAGAGCTGGTTAAGATTTCTTCTAAAAATTGTAATGGTCCGGTTCCATGAAGTCAGGAGTTATGCCAAGTTTTGTCTCTACCCACACAGTCCCAAAAAGGCCAGCACAAAAGCCTGAAGTCCAGATAAGTGCTATATCCTGTGCTTTAGACCATTTAGCAGTGATAAGGTCATATATATGTACTCTTTACCCAAATCTCACTTGTACTGCTGGGTGATGTAGTAACACAGGAATCCAATATTAATGAGTACGGACCTGCAAACAGAGAGGAGGAACTAATGGATTGCTAAATCATATCCTGGCTTACTTTAAGGTGGTGTCTTGGGGCTAACAACCAAAAAATTAAAACTTAAATTAGTCTATAGAAGAAAGTTGTGTAAGGCAGCAGAGTATATTATCATCCAAAGTAGAGGACAAAGCACGCTAATATTTTTATTATGTATAAATTTTAAAATCCCTCAATATAGATTCAAATGTAATAGGGCTTATGTCTTAGGCTTGTAATTTTTCATAACTTCAGTCCAAATTCTGACCTATTTAAGAGACCAGAGTTATTAATATTTCCTATTATTTCTATTCCTCAAACTTTTCAAATGGATTTCTCCAAGGCATTCTTTCTTCTCACACCTACCTTCCTCTTCATTTTGAAAGTATGAGTTCAGGGTAGTGGCTGAAAGACAGAAAAACAAACACATAAAAATGTTTTGACTGCAGGTATTCATTGCAAAATATTAATTTTTTTCCTGGAGGAGATGTGAAGGTGAATCAGGAAATGGATGGCTTTTTCAGATCACATGAATCAGTACCCCAGAATTCATCATTTTCACCAAATAGCTGGATATTTTTTGAGACTTGAAGTTAGATGGTGCTTATTTAAGGCTTATATAACATCTTCTTTAACTGCCTTATCTGTCAGAGACTTTAATGAAAAGAGGCAATTACTAAAAATCAACTTGTACATTTATAAATTCAAGTGCACATTTATTTATATTATATAGTTGTGTCAAAAATATCACCTTAAGCATTCATAAAATTAAACCACTTTGTTTATAAAGAGCCTAAATCATACAAACACCATGAGAAATACTACTTTATTCTCTCTTTTGATCAGAAATGGTAAATATAAACTCATCAGATAAACATCTAGCTCTCAAAAGCCAAATAATTTGGAATTTCGTTTCACTGTTCCTAATTGATAGATATTAAAGGTACTGGTCAGTGTAACCTTTAAATACAGCACATAATGCAAGAGAATAATTTGACAGAAAACAGGAGAGAGTTTGTAACTCTGGTATTTATTTCCCTGTGATTTAAAGTAAGTGTTGCAATGGTGTCTTTTGCTAAGATAATTAAAAATTTGCTCAGTCTGAACTTGTATCTGCTACTGGGGTTTGTGCTATTGGGCTACAGCCTTGCATATCCTACTTTTTAACTGTATACTTCTCTACTGGAACCATCGGAGGATGACATTCAAATATGGCATACTCATGATGATCCAGCCTTGGAAGATGACATTGCTCAGTGCAGGCAGGAATCTGAGGATTCACACAACTCAAATGCAGAAGACCAAATACTTTCCTGAATCTCAATGACAAAGAAGGAAGAAACCACAATGTAGACCTGATGAACAGGTCTCTCCGCAAAGTCACATAAGCAAGGTAGATTCAAGGTACCAGACTGCACAAACTCTGTGTTCTTTAGCATTGGTTCAGGAAAGGGAGCTTGTTCACATGCACCATGCTCCTGGCTGGTCTGCTCTGGAAAGTTTCTGGTCACCAGGAGGGTTTCTCCTGAGTCAAAGATGACGTGGTTGAAAAAACAAAATCAGGCAATTAACTGTGAGAAATCAAAGTTTTTCTCTGCATACTTCTCATGAATTAAACAAAAATAACCAATGTTTTTAATGGAGTGAAATGAACAAAATGCAATGAAAATAAAGCCTTTGAACTCTGTCATCGTGAAGCAAGCGACGTCTTTTCATAGAATCATAGAAGACTTTTGGGTTGGAAGGGACCTTTAAAGGTCATCTAGTCCAATCCCCCCTGCAATGAGCAGGGATGTCTTCAACTAGATCAGGTTGCTCAGAGCCTTGTACAACCTGGCCTTGAATGTTTCCAGGGATGGGGCATCTACCACCTCTCTGGGCAACCTGTTCCAGTGTCTCATCACCCTCAATGTAAAAAATATCTTCCTCATATCTAGTCTAAATCTACCCTCTTTCAGTTTAAAACCATTACCCCTTGTCCTATCACAACAGGCCCTACTAAAAAGACTGTCCCCATCTTTCTTATAGGCCCCTTGAAGTACTGGAAGGCTGCTATAAAGTCTTCCTGGAACCTTCTCCAGGCTGAACAACCCCAACTCTCTCAGTCTGTCCTCTTAGAAGAGATGTTCCATTCATCTGCTCATCTTTGTGGCCCTCCTCTGGATCTGCTCCAATAGCTCCATGTCTTCCCTGTGCTGAGGGCTCCAGAGCTGGACACAGTACTGCAGGATGGGTCTCACCAGAGCAGATGTGAGGGGTAGAATCACCTCCCTCAACCTGCTGGCCACATTCCTTTTGATGCAGCCCAGGATACAGCTGGCTTTTTGGGCTGTGAGTGCATATTGTCGGCTCATGTCCAGCTTTTTATACACCAGTACCCTCCAGTCCTTCTCTGCAGGGCTGCTCTCAATCCTTTTCCCTACAATGCAAACATAACTCAAAACATAGCTCAATGCTCAGTTTTACTGAAGCTAACTCCTCCCTTTTTTCTTTTTTTCTTCCCCCCCCCTTTTTTTTTTTTTCTTTCTTCTTCTTTCTTTCTTTTTCCTCTTAACCTAACTTAAACTTTGGGCTTACAGTATCTGACTTTGTTTTTCTAAATGATGAGAGACAGACATACTATCCAAGGTGCTTTTGATGGGTAATGAGAAGACAGGCCTTTCCTTACACCATGGCTTTCCCACTTAAACAGATGGAAATCCGCCCCCTTCCCTGCTTTCTAACACTCCTTATATCCTGCCACCACAGGGAGGAGCTGAAATCTGGCTTCCCACCAAACTGGCCAAAAGCCTGAAGGTGCTGTGCAGCCTTTTCTCTTCCAACTGCACTACCTTACCGCTTTCACGTGCTAAAATCCCTTGACATGCTAGGCTCTATTTTGTTGCAAGAAGGGATCAAGAATTAGTAACAGTGAGAAATATAATGACAGAAAAATGCAGGGTAAAGGAGGAAGTGATCCATGCTAGAAGGAAGGCTGGATAGAATTGGGGCTTGGTCCTCTCAGGGTTTTCTTTTCCTTCCTTAAATCAGACAGCAGAGCTTCTCCTGCTTCTTCCTCTCCTATCCTCAGCATGATACTCTAAGATTATGTTAGGATTTATTATTTATTTTGGTTACAGTAATAGAGGCTTAGCCTGGGATCAAGACACTACTGTGCAAGGTACTTGTACAGACCCAAACACCTCTCAGCCACTGCTTGCAAGAGTATGTCTGGGGATTGATTTGCCTAAAATTACCTGTATCACTCAATTAATCTGATTTAACTCTGCACTTAGACACAGTACAGAGTAACATGTAACATTAAACAATGTTACATTTTGTAGCTTTATTTCAAACATGGTTAATCTCATGGCCAGTTTCATACATCTTTGCCCATGAGCTTTTCAAAACAAAATAAAATGAAATTGAATTAACCATTGACATCATTACTGTTCTTCCATAAGATTGGTGGTTAGCTATAAGACACATGACTTAAAACCTCTGGGGATGCATACAGAGAAAGTATGATTCCAGTGAAATTTTTTTTATGGTAGAACATACATCATTAATCCAGTATTATATAAAGCTATAAATGTGGGGGGTTTTGTTGTTGTCTTCCATGTATGTCCATTGTTTCACAGCTAAACTGCAGAGTTATTATTATTAAAGCTAAAATTTTTATGTGTTTTTTTACTGTTGGTTTTGCATGTGCAGTGCTTGCTTTTCATAGATAAAGTATGGATGTTTGATTTTTTTTATTTTTTTGACAGTAGTTGGAAAAAAGAAAGTCTAAAGTTATTGTAATAGGTAAAGAGATATATATATATAGCGTAGGACTTGCTGATGTAAACAGATACGTCTTAGAAACACTCCAAACAAGTTAAGGGAGTATATACGTGAATTGTCACTTTCATGGCAATTTTGAAGCATAAAATGGATTCTTTTATTTTCTATAGAAATATTTTCTGGAGCTGAGAAAATTTCACAGGAAAGTGATCCTACATAAATATACATTACATTGGTGTCTTACAAAAGTGTATTGTTAGAAATAAGGAAACTTCCTTGACAGTCAGGGATACATGATTGTTATGGAAAAAAAGTCTGGCCTTTAGTATTTGCTTTTGTGGTTTGGGTGTGTGGTGGTTTTTGGTGGTGTTTTTTTTTTTGTTTTTTTTTGTTTTTTTTTTTTTTTTAAAAAAA